TCTTTTTTTTTTTTTTTTTTTTTTTTTTTTTTTTAGCGATGTTCGATACAAACGTAGAATTTCATGCTTTCCAATAACTATGCAGTAGAAGCGGCGATACGTTTGTTTGTACTTACATTGATTTCGCGAAGATCGTATAGCAATATACGAATCGGAAAAAAATAAGCTAAAAATATATTGCTTTTTTGTTGCGCGATATTCTAGTTTCGATCAGTAGAATCAATATTTTTTTCGACAAGGAACGAAAATAACTTACAAGAAATCGCACTTTCTCTACCGGAAACTCATCGATGAGTTTGCTGAATAAATGAAAATAATAAAAACTATTTATCTTAAAATTTCAAGACTTAAAACTATCACACACACACACACACGGTATGTTAAATCGGTTAATCATCCGTGACCTTGGTTAGATCGCTCTGTAGATTAATAGTCCGTTCTGTCAGATTGAACAAATTAAAGTCAACGCGGTATGTTTAAGAGTAACTTAGCCGGGAGGGAAGTTATTTCTTCGTCTTAACAGGCCGCTTCTTCTTTTTCTCCTCGGGTCGATACGGCCCCAACTTCCGGCGCACCATGACGCCCCGCCACCAAGCTTGGATCCTGATTGTGCAACGTTGCACGTGATCCTCGTGTTCCTTCTGCCTTCGGAGTGCCTCCTGCTCCGCGAGATATGTGTCGATAAATTCTTGATTGCTGCAGTACTGTAACAAACACCGTGTTTCAGTGCGAGTTTACTGGCATATCTTGTCAAACTCTTTGTGTCCTTCTTCGGAGAAGTAAGCATAGAATATATGAAGCTTTTCTTTTATGTGACGGTCGTAAACCTTCATAGACAATACGAGGAGGATGAATTTTGTACAATATATGTGTGTGTGTGTGTGATTAAAAGCAAGGAATAAATAGCAACATTTTTTAGAAAATCGGATATTATTGATGCATTATTAGAATATTACATGAGTTTAATGAGTTTAAAATGTAAAACAATATATTAATTGTCGTTTATGAATAATATCTGTTAGTTTTTTATTTAATAATAAAAATTTGTGAAATTTATATAAAATGATTTAAAAATGTTCTTTTCAATTTATTGCAAGTATTATTAATTTATTAATATATTATTAGAAATTATAGAGAATTCGTATTAAAATATAATTTCTTTTTTTAAAAGCAAGTTAAAAATGTGAAGTAAAATCTTTTCATAATTGAGTTTTCTCTCTCAGTTGCACTACAAAAAAATATTCCATCTCCTATGCTGTACATAAAAAAAAAAAAATCTGAGAGAATTAGATAATGTGTATATATAGACTTTCGGTCAACGGGTAAATCCTAGCTTAAATGTATATGAAATGTATCGTATATGAAAGGCTCTCAGGGGCTTAGGATTCGCGAATACCGGCTATTAATAATGATCATCGAGACATTTCTGAGTCTCAACCTGACGCGAATTATCGATCAACCGACAAAACTTTAGCGCGCCCTTTAAACTCGGCCGAACCAAATTACCCGAGCTCGATTGCCGATAGGCTTATAGCGAGAAACGTGATGCGGTAAATTAAGCAGTCATACAGAGAATACAAAATAAGATTGTGATTGTGCTTGTTGCCTAGTCGGAAAATCCTCCTTATCCGGCAATTAAGATTTATAGTGGAGGTGGCCAAAATAACGAGCGGCAAAATACAAATTGAATTACATTTCTGTACCGTTTCTGATGCCCGGGGAATGAAATGAAAATATTTCTCGTACCGTGCCGTAGTTTTCTAATCATTACCTCCGTTGTAAGCTGCTCCAAGTATTTTCGAGCATCTTCTATCTCATAGCGTAATTTGTGAATCTCTTTCTCATACATTTTCTTCTCTCGATCATACCTCTCCTGCCATCGCTCGATTCGTTTCTCGATGAACTGTATAAATTCAAAGCAAATATTTTTGTCATCTATGTAAGGGTGCTAGAGTTGAAATTTTCTCGATGAAACTTATTTCAATTAAATTACTTAACGTTCAGCAAAAACACTAAATTTCTGTTAACACATACTCGTTAAAAGGAATCTTAAAACGCTCTAATCTCCAGAAGAATCTTTTTCCGCAACATTTTCAGCTTTTCCGCAAAAGAATTTACTGGCTTAAACGTCTGCTTTAATTTTAACGACGAACCCTTTTAAGACTTAAATATTTGAGTACACAATTTATCTAAAACTTTTCTAATATGCATTTTAAGAGGAAAAAATCGCAAAAAAATTTACGCTCACCGCTGTACGCCATGTCAGATAACGTATTAATTCGTTATTCACGCAATTCTCGTTTTTTTCGCGTACGTAATAATTATTTAAAGTCTTTTCCAGCTCGTCCATCTTTAATTTGTAACGCAGTACGTTTTGCTCTTGACGTGCCGTCTCCCAAGCTCGGACGTATCTCATTTCCACGTCCTTAATTAGTTTTAGTCTCTCCTTCTCGTCCTAAACATTTTGTCCACAATTTTGTTCAGCGTGGCCTCACTTATACACATAATAAATAGCAGTTAAGGAGGAATTGGACGGATCAGTTACGTCAAAAGTTAATAAATCTAATAAATTTCAAGATTCATGAATTTGCTATTGCGCAAAGCACTTTTTTAGTCTTTTAAAATATAAAATCATTATTAATTATTAATTTTTAGTTAAAGTAAAGATTTACCCTGTAGAATGTAATTTAATTTAAAAATCATAAATATTATTTTATATCAAACTAATTTTTTTTATAGTGTCTGTACTGTAAAAATTTTATATAGTGACACAAAAATTCATGAAAATAAAAATTCTACAGAGCAAGTCTTTACTTTAACTCACAAATTAATTATTAATTTTATATTTTAAATGTCATTGTCATGAATTTTCGAAATGTATTAAATTTATTAACTCCTCTCTTTCTTTTAACGTAGCTGATTCTCCAATACGTAGCTTCTTCTTCCTCCTTAAATAGTAAAACTTGATGATTTATCGTCATTGTATTACGTACGATACGTATATATCCTATATAGTATATAAACTTTTCTTGTCTTATGCGAAATATTGTATTTATACCCGTGTTAAAGTGAGCTTCTTTGTTAAACTTTCCTCCTCCTTCTCGTTCGACGTTTTCTTATCGGCGATCGTTTTTCGTAACTCCGCTACGATAGTCTGCATTCTTTCATTCTCTT